GAGAAGCTGAATGAATGTAGCAACAGAGTAGAAATGGGGATGATGGGTAAGATCAGAACAAARCACAGCTAGTGCTTTCAGTCTGTTTATATTCACTGCAGTTATTGATTTGGTTGTACTTCAGCCTACCATCCTGCTATTYTTTCATTTTTCTCAATCCATTCTTTGTTCTCCCTTCCTACTTTTTTTTGTTATTGTTTCCCAGAGTTCCATTTAATTTTCTCTATTGCCAYTTTGAGTATTTCTCTTTGTTTTACTTTCATTCTATTTTTATGTGTTTGCTCTAGTGAATAAAATGTGCATTTTCTAAATTGTTATAGTCTAACTTGGAATAATATTATGGCTCTTCACTTATAGAGAAAATTTTAAGTATCTACATATATTTACCCCTCCTATCCTTTGTTCTATTTTTAAGCATGACAAACCCTGCAAAACCTTAATACCATTCTTGCTGTATATCATCAAACTATTTTAAGGGAAATTAAGAATTATTTTTAGGGTAGGTTTGCCACAGATTAATTTCTTCAATATTTGTTCATATGAAATTGTCCTTATTTTACTTCATCCCTTTCTGATAAAGAGGTAAGAAACTTTTAGTCCAACAACACAGACATTGAAAATGTCAATGTAATGATACTATTTAATTCAGTCAATCTTTATCAAGTACTCATTATGTGGGAGTCACTTAAGGGCATTAAGAGATCACAGTCTTTATTTATAAAGGCTGTTGTAAATTGGGCATTTTAGCTTGCATGATCTTATTTAGTTTTTACTTCACCTTTAATTTTGAAGAATATTTTCACTGCATATAGAATTGTAGATTGACTTTTTGTTTTCATTTGTTTTGCTTCATTTCAACTTTTCATGTGGTTTTGTTGTCCAGCTTGCATGATTTCTGGTGAGTAATTAGTCATTATTTACATCTKTGATTGCCTAGACATTATAGGGTTATTATGGGTTTTTTTAGTCTTTTCTTCATTTTTTCCTTTTTCTCTGGCTTCTTTTAAGATATTTTAAAATCTATTTTTATTATTTTCAAATATGTTTACTTTTTTTGCAAATTAATGTCTAGATACTACATATACTTTTAAGTTTTTTCCTCACTGGGTTTATTTCAGTTTTAAATTTGCGTATTGTGAGGGTTTTCTAATTAAAATCTTATATTTTAAGCAATTTTAAAATATACTTCTGAATTCCAAAATCCCTCTCCTTTCCAAGACTTTCATAATGCTCACTTAATATTAATTCACAGGGCATTCATTTTTTACCCCATTTTTATTCCATGTTTCCGTTGAGGTGATTTTTATTAACCTGCCTCTTTATTCATTTTTTATTTCTTTTGCTGTTCAATTTGCTATTGAGCTTATTCAGTGAATTTTATAATTTCAGATACTGCATTTTTTAGTTATAGTCTTTCCATTTGGTTCTTTTCGAGGTTCAATTTCTCTTCTTAAACAGTTCATCATTTTAATAATTATATTCATCTTTACTTATGGATGCCTAACCACAATTATAATTATTATTTTAAAGTATTTGCTAATTCCAATAAATAGGTCTGGGTCATCTGTAGGAGTGCTTCTGCAAGCTAGATTTTAAACTAATATTTTTCACATTTCTGCTTCATTGATTGTGTTATAATTATTTATTCTATTCCAGATCTTATGAACAAAAGGATGATGAAGACCAAAGTATGTATTTCTTTGGATGATTTCTTTCCTCTGTCTGACAGGGTATGGAACAAACCAGTCAGATCCCTGTATAAGTTGAGTTTAGCTGCAACTATCACTTAGCAGGACTTAATGACTGATGTTAACTGCCTGTTTGGAGATTCAATGCCTCTTCAATAGTGGATGCTCTCTTTTCAATGTTAGCACGTGACCTGAAGATCACACTTTGTGTGTGGGTCTACAAATTCATCTACATGTCTCTTTCCTAGACCTCATTTCCCATATCTAATCTTTTAGACTCTTGACCAAGTACTTAGTACTAAGTATGTGTATGTTATTACCAGGAGATATTTCTCTTGCCATTCAAGGTGAAAAATTAATTGCCCTGTGTGAATTTATGCCTAATAAAAGATGTATCTTTTCTGTTGTCTTTTAATACTGCCCTGAGTGAAGATGGACAGCAGAATAGTTATTTATTTATCTATTGGCTTGTACCATGTAGTGAATGAAATCTATATGTTCGTGAACCAAACTTATCCTTTTTCTTTGTTCTTCAGCCAGACATAAGGAAGCCCCCATTTTAGCATAATTTTGCTGAGGGGGATATACCAAAACCTTGGTGATCTATGACTTAGGGGCCTCTGTCATCCATTTTTATAGAACTGATTCCATTCATGCCATCCTGGATATATCGCTTCTAACAATAAAGTTCCATGGTTCTGTCTGATCTTATGATGGTTACTTATTGTCCAATGGATAGACCCTTCATCTCTTCGAGGTCATGTGGCATACCAAATATTATTTTTAAAAATTGTTGCTTATTTCTCCACTACAGACAACATGCATAACCTTTCTCTATAGCTCCTATTGGAACTTATCATACTTTGAGTATTGAAGTTACAAGGAAGAGATGAGGCTGCACAGATAAGGAAATGGGTGCCTGGGTAACTTCCTGGGCATCAGAGCACAAACAGCAGCTGCAGCTCTTTGCTGAGAAACTTACAAAAAAGACTATTTTAATATCAGGACCTATGTGACTTGGATTCCATAGAAATTCAGGACATATGTGACTTGGAGTCCATGGCCTCTTCAAAAAAAGGAGAAATGCCCGATCAATATTTTTATTGGATTAACAGGTGTGTGAATACTTGTGGACACTGAGTGCCTTGCCCAGGATCGGTCAGGGGGCTGACTTTCTTAAGCCTGCAGTTCCATAAACTCCCCTAGACAATCTGGATGTCCCTCTCTTGGAACCCTCTTCAGGAATTCTGCTTTCTTTCTATTACTCTAATAAATCCCGTTACTGCTCTCACTTTTGTGTCTGTGGATTTTATTCTTCAAATCCATAATTCAAAGAACTCATTGACATCCACACCCTGTGTTACAGTACCATTAGGTTTTTGTTGATTCAAATAGCAAGGCATCCTGCACTATAGCCAATGTCTTTTTTCTTTTTCTTTTTTTTTAAGCAGATGGATTATTACTATTTAAAATTTTTTATTTGTTCATTTCAGTATACATGACAGCAGAATGTATTT